GTCAGATTATACTCAAATGCCATGTGCTTCCTGGTTTCGGCCATCTTGGATTTTTTGATTAAAGCTGGACTACGCTCCGAAACGCAATCTTGGGTTGTTTCGGGGGTGAACTTTATCATTTTGAGCTTAATGAAAGATTATAGAATGATGAACAAATGGGGCAAATCTTGTGTAGAAATACTTACGATAAATGTGTCATTTCAAAGATTTTTCATTGAATTTGCTTCGATCGGTGCCGGCGATATGATTTTGGAAAGGTTTCTAAATGAAGAACGTGACGTCACTTCCGAATCATAGCATTCAAAATAAGTAGCGTTTAATTACTTTCTCCTTTCATATAATACGGTGGTGTAGCGGGTAGAATCCTCGCTGAGCACGCGGGAGGCCCGGGTTCGAATCCCGCACTAGCCTTTTTATTTTTTTAACTAAATGATTGTTCTTCGATATTACGCAGAAAAAACAATTTTTATTTACATAAACTTTATATTAGAGCTTGAAAATGTAAAAACAATATATGTCAACATATTGCGTTTCGGAGCGTAGTCCAGCTTTAAGTTATAAGTTACCTTAAAAGTGCAGATCTTAACTGTTTTTCGAAAAACCGTTTATGTAACTTAAGTGAGGAATTAAATTGACGATTCTATTGTCTTCTGAACTATTTGTTCGCAAACATGTACATTTTCTAAAGCATATGAAACTGATACATGTTTGTGTATTTCTGCCATCATGATTATCTATCAGGCTAAAGATGGCAATCACTGACTCCCCGGGCAATGTCTATTCTTTGAAAGAGGTAGATGATCTAACAGAGATCACCATCAAGATTAAGATAACTGCATAAACCATTTGCCATAAACACTTCACCATCCAATCCACACCTCTGCGCCAGATCCCCGGGGCCGGATCTGACTTGAAAGTCGCTGATGGTTAATTGACCCCTTGACCCCTTGTAATTGACCTAACGAAAATTATGAACCGGGAATTATGATTGAAATCGTGATGAAATTGACAATCAAAAACATCGATTCAAATATCAGAATATTCAAAAGTTCATTTCAAAAATTATGAAAATTGAAACGATCCCAACTTTCACATGAGATTATTTGTGTTCTCGCTGCAAGTACCGGCCATGGAATGCTTTCATCATTACCTTTGGTGATTGTGTAACATAAATGCATCATTCTTACCTTCGAAAGCTGGCAGTACGGCTCCCAAGTTGCTTTTAAGCAGCAATATCTTGAACTTGGAACTGTCCTCCATGTTGATTTCGACGCGGGAATTCCTCTATTTCTATTGGTTGATAGAACATAATACGATAATAAGCCGAACGAGAAATACATCAAATTTGCGAACGATGTACTTTCCGTTTGTAACGCTCGCCCTTGTTGAAAGGGACTAAAACCGGGACTAAATTTTTTGTCCCGAGGTCTGACAAATCGCCGGAAAAGTGGAGTTTTAGTCAATTTACCGATAATTCGCAAACTTTAGTCCCGGCAAGCTCCAGAGGAAGTCGACATGGACATCTATGAAGTTCAGAGGAAGAAAATATGGAATTTTATAACTCTGAGAGGAATAATACATGGAAACTTCCAATTTTGAGAGGAAATTGACATGGAAAAAATGCTCAAAAAGGGGGTCTTTGGCGCGGCACATAGGTATTAAGAGGTATATTGGAGTGAACCCCCCGGGACAGAACGTCAGACTTTTGTCAGCAATAACCCATGGCAAAATTACAACGTCGGAGAAACGTTTTCTTTACATCATATTTCCACTCTCACTCTCAATTACCACGTTAAGTTCATCTGTGTGAGCCAACATATGCCTTTGCCTCCACCGATCAGTATTTAAAGTTACCACAACTCGAGGCATACATGTATATTCGTTATATATTTAACATTTACTTCACGTCACTAATTAAACGAATTTGTTGAGACCACAACGTCTTTGTCACGTTCTTTTTCACATACATGTATATATATTTTTCACGTTTAAAACCCCTTTCGTCAACGTCAAAATTAACCGTTTCGACAACGTTGCAAATAAACCAATTTCGTGAGGACATAGCGTCTTTTTGTAACGTTTCCTGCACTTACAAATATTTTTTTACATTTCAATTGAAAACACGTTTCGACAACGTTGAAATTAACCGTTTGCACTACGTTGAAAATGAACCATTTTGGTCAGAAAATGACGTCTTTGTAACGTGTTTTACAATCACAAATATTTTTCACATTCAAACCATGTTTTGACAACGTTACAATTAGCCATTTTCACTATGTTGCAAATGAACCAATTTGGTGGGAAAACAAGGACTTTGTAACGTTTCCTAGACTTACAATTATCTTTCACATTTAAAACACGTTACGACAACGTCAAATTTTACTGTTTATATTACGTAGCAAATGAAACAATTTGGTGAGAACTGCAACGTCTTTGTAACGTTTTCTACACTTACAAATATCTTTCACATTTAAAACACGTACGTTACGACAACGTCAAATTTTACCGTTTACATTACGTAGCAAATGTACCAAATTTGGTGAGAACGCAACGTCTTTGTAACGTTTTTTACTCTTACAAATATCTTTCACATTTAGAACACGTTACGACAACATCAAATTTTACCGTTTATATTACGTAGCAAATGAAACAATTTGGTGAGAAGTGCAACGTCTTTGTAACGTTTTCTACACTTACAAATATCTTTCACATTTAAAACACGTTACGACAACGTCAAATTTTACCGTTTACATTACGTAGCAAATGTACCAAATTTGGTGAGAACACAACGTCTTTGTAACGTTTTTTTACACTTAAAAATATCTTTCACATTTAGAACACGTTACGACAACATCACATTTTACGGTTTATATTACGTAGCAAATGAAACAATTTGGTGAGAAGTGCAACGTCTTTGTAACGTTTTCTACACTTACAAATATCTTTCACGTTTAAAACACGTTACGACAACGTCAAATTTTACCGTTTACATTACGTAGCAAATGTACCAAATTTGGTGAGAACACAACGTCTTTGTAACGTTTTCTACACTTACAAATATCTTTCACATTTAAAACACGTTACGACAACGTCAAATTTTACCGTTTATATTACGTAGCAAATGAAACAATTTGGTGAGAACTGCAACGTCTTTGTAATGTTTCCTGCACTTACAAATATTTTACACATTTAAAAAACGTTACGACAACGTTAAATTTTACCGTTTATATTACGTTGCAAATGAACCAAACTGGTAAAAATTCAACGTCATTGTTACGTTTTTCACACCAGCACAAATTTCGAACTTTACTAACACATTACTACAACGTCATTTTTTAACCATCCACCGACGTTTTGCTGAATGTCACAATTTTACGTTGCTTTGACGTTTATATAACGGAAATATACAACGTCTTCAGTGAACTTATATACCACATATGAGTGACGTGACATGGACGTTACTGTTTGCTGGGTACAGCTTGTTTGGTATTTTACAAGCTTTAAACAGAACGTGATTTATTATTCAATCATATATGTAAAACGTCATGGTATACGTGAACAGTTCGTTATACAAAATAATAAATAAAATAGATAAAAGATAAAAGAAATTAGTATATTTCAGTGAAAATATGTCTAAATTATGAATGTTGATCATAATTGCTTATAACAATATACATTCACCTGATTCGATAATTACTTTAATCTAGATTTCAATCATTAGTCTCAAGGCGTGCCAAGACTTTTTGTCACACTCTAAGCACGTCTTTGCACTGCGTGTGCTTAGATGTGCCTAGAGATGTCTAGAGTTGGTTTCATCGCGTACCTAGACGTGTCAAAACTAGTCACGCCTAAGCACCCGGCGTGCTTAGACTTAGTTTCTAGACGTGCTTAGTCTAGAAATTCCATTTTTCACGCAGTGTATGTTATTGTAATTACAATGTACCACTTGAAATGAGCATTGTCAATGCTTAATTACAATGATTGTATGGTACACATGCCTGAGTATTCTATGAAACATAAATGTTAGGATGCCTCCTAATGATTTTCATTGATACTATGACCCTTTAAGATTGAGTTTTCCTTTTCAACGCATTGGAGCGTATCGTTCACACTCTTTGGATTTTACAGCAGCGTAACACATATTCTTATTAACTAGTAGTTCACGAATTCTCATTCCAAGTCATATATGACGCCTTTCATTGAAATCAAAGGAATATTGTATCCATTAGGACTTGGAATTAGGTCAGAAAGGTGAGACACAGTTAATAGCATTCTATCATGATCTTGTCTCAGCCAATGATGTCAACAAGCAGTTAGATGTCATCGTGGTAATCCACGCCCTCTCCATCTCTATCCTTCTGGATGCAACAGAGAGAGATGCTATGAGTATCAGAATGGTTAGATGTAATCATAATGGACTTTGCTAAAGCCTTTGATGAGGTTTCTCATCGGCATTGCAATTGATAAACAAGCTTGACTACTATTTTCTTTCAAAACATGACACTTAATTCGAGTTCTTGTTGGAATAATATTCCTATATTTGGGTATGTACCATATTATTTAAATTTGCTGATACCGTTTTTTGCTGTTTGTCAGCTGTATTAAATGTTCATACTCGTCTTTTACCCCCACCATGATGTCTCGTGTTGACAATTTTACTGAATAACTGTGCTTCTTTTGGCAATAACGCTGAAGCAATTTCCAAATCAACTCAATTGCTGGAATTACACCAGAAAAACCGCTAAAAGCGCTTTACAAAATCGCCATCCTGATTGCACCAACAATTCTAAAGCGCCCTGGGAATTTTATTTTGGAATTACACCTGTCATTTCTAATGATTTAAAGCGTTTTCTAGTGACTAGGGTTCTAGGAGTTTTGGACAAGCGCTTTTGTAAAACCGCGATCGTGATTACACCTATTGTTCAAACCGGTTTATCTTTACAATACTTGCAATTTTTATTTGCAACAACTTTCATTTTGTATAACAAAATATTTGACTGAGGAACGATTCTGTGCATTTTTATAGGCTAATGTTATTTTGGTTCTTTTATTTTTGACGCCTATACAGGATATATAGCCGACCTTCAACTACATTGACTTCCATACAAATGCGTCGCTAGGTATGCAGTTCAACCTATAACTTTGTTCGCAGATGACAACATCATCTAGTAAGGACACCCCAGAATTTCAAATTGCATTCTGCTAGGGTTGCCATCGAACGATTTGTCCGATTTTTTAATCCTAGATGTATTGGGTCTAGATGTATTTCATGGGTGTCACCTTCGTACATTGATTTATCTATTAATTAATATTTCTCTATACACAGTTCATTGTTATTCTATCGACCGGTTGCATTTTAGGTGATTTGTAAAGGAGTAACTGATGATTTCTGTTTTGTACGAATCATATCTCTGTTTTGTTAGCTCGAATTAACTTAATTAGATATGAGATGGTTTCTATTTTTTAAGTTTGAACAGAAAAGGAAAGGTATTCTTTAAAAGGCAGTTCTATTGCTAATAAGATTTACATGTGCAATTATTAAATTATTTCTAAACAAAATTTTCGTAACCAAACAACCGAAGGTCATGCTTGTAAATACTTTGTATTGCCTTTAAGATTTCAAGAGGTATCTTGTGAAGTACTGTTTTTCTTAAATCTTTGAATCCTTTTTCTGGATTGGGTTTTTTGTAATAAATTTCTGTTAATTTCGACTTGAGAACATCGGATTCTATTTCCCCTTGTAACAGATTTCTTCTTTCCTGATTGTCAAGCTTTATATAACCTCGTGTCTCCAAGCCTCCTAATATCCTATTGAGAAGTTGTTTCTTTGTGAGGCCGCATGCCGTCGGATAGCCACGAAACATAATGTCAACCTCTCTGTGAATATTTTCCAATCTGCTATAGTTCGATCTCATTTTGATACTGTGTTCCGCGTGAATTGTTCCAAGAATATGAGAAATATCCTTAGAGTATGTTTCGATATGACCTATGATGTCATAGTTAATATTACAAGGGAAACACATATCGTATATTGAACGCCAATGTTTATTCAATGGTATCCTATTTGCATATCTATGTATAATGTGTAGCAGAAATTCTTCGAAAGTGGTATCAAATCCACATTGTTTTGATTTCCAGGATGATATATGTTTTCTAAAAATATTAATGGCAGGTGCTCCCGCTTTGTACCAAAAATTTGGATTTATACTATACAATTTATCGAAATACCCTGATATTAAACGATCCAATGGGTCACGAACAATGAGAACTTTTGTATAATGTTTTAACATATATTCTACCTGTTGCCGACTGTAATTCTCAAAACGCTTTATCGGTAAATCCTTTGCAATAAGAGGTGGTATATCATACGGATCTATAGATATTGTATTTCCGTTTATAACATACATAATCCTCTTAAATAATGTACATCCAATCTTAGGAACTCTACAGTATATCATTTGATGGATATCATCAATATAAAAATCATCAGTGTGAACAACTTTATCAAGAATATTTTGGTTTTCTCGTGAGCTTTGTTGCTTGATGCATTGTTCTTTAAGAAGATGTCTGCGTTCCTCGTGTATCTGTTTCACTGTAGAGTTTGGGATATAAGGACGAGTGTACTCTTCGGTTAGATCATCAATGTCCCTGTCTGCTTTGTAGTTGTTGTCATCCAGCCCTACAAAATCAGATTATTATTGATACCTAGTTGGTAAAAGAGAAAAAATACACTAGGTAAACAGAATAATTGAGCGCACCAAATAAAACGAAAATACCAAACAATCCATAAACAATCAATTTTTAAAATTTGACCATCATAAATGTCATAGTAAATTTCTTGCAAAAATAATAGTAAGTAAATAAAAACAACATGCACAAGAAGGAAATATGTCATGTCTCAATAAAAAAACAGTGGTGACTAATATCAGACAGGTAATCTTAATGTTAAAAATATTTACATCATTAACAAACAAAATATGCTCAAAAACAATGGGTAGCCTAAATGTCAACAGATTATTACTGCAATTAAAATATGTTTAGTAACAACATACGAGGGCTGATCATAAAGTACTCTTCACGTGATATATTGAGACATAAAATTGCGTGATATAATAAGAACTTAATGACCAACCCTCGTACTCAAAATGTGGTGTTATACCATTTGACGTAATGTAGATTAGACATAACACTGTCCCAGCTGCAAACAAGCAAAGATTTGAAACATTCCTCTCCATGGTCCTAATGTTACAATGTATTGAAGTAAGAATTTGTAGCAAGTAATGTTTGATCATTTTCCATTCCTTTCAATGTTCTTGATAATACTCATATCCTGATTTTTACATATATCTTGATAATGAACAGTATTTAGCTTTATGCGATTGTTTTAAATTGCCATGATAATTCTAGACAGATTCTACTGTTTATTGTGTTTCATGAACATATTTGTTAAATGTGATAGCTAAATTACTTTCACAAAGTTTTAATTTGTATTGATCATTTTAATATTTTGTTAAAGGCCATATATCATCAAGGCACACGTGGCCTTGATGGGAAGTATTTACAATTTGTTACAGTCCTGTGAAGTATCGTTGAAGCATTATCTGTGCTTTTGGTTTGTTGAAAGTTGATTTTTAAATTCTAAAATGACATACACCAGTACATGTACATATAAGGTGGAATTTGAATACTGGACAGGTTTGAAACATTTTGTGACTCAAAACAAAATCATATCAAAATTATACTTTAAGCAAACGATTCCATATACCTTTTTTTAGATGATTGGATATATCATTTGTAAATATTTAATGGAACGTAAATTATTATAAATAAAACTAGTTGCTAAGTGTTCTGTTCAAACTTGCGTTTTGGTTTAATTTTCAGCTGTTTTGATTTTTATGGACATGAGCCAATTATAATATGACTATAGGAAGAAGTTAATGTATAACAAAGGAAACAATAAATCGATGTAGTTTTGATTTTAATTGGATAGTGCATATTTTCTAGATACTATATAATTGGCAACATATCGTTACTTGAACTTTGGTCAGGCGAGGAAATCCATATAATCTAAATGTGCAGCTGGCATCAACACTTTAGTACCAACAAAAAGTTTCGAAAGTAAGCCCAATGACATGTTTAGAACCCATATTCTTACTTTTGAAAATGGATTCTAGCAATTCTATCCAGCATGAATCTACTTGTTGAGGCTCGATCAACTTGAGTTCTTTTGAGAAAATGAGGACTTAAGCAAGGCTGCATTGACTTTGCCTTGCCCAAGTCGGTATTTTTTACTTATCCGATCTTGAACTAAATACTCCTTTAGATATAAATCAATATAAGTAAAAGAGACCGACTTGCAATTGGGCAAAGGTAGCATCGATTCAACATGGGGACATACACCATTGATCATTGGCTTAGCGTGGGGATACCATCAAGCATGTCATACTGTAATCTCAATGGCAGCCTTGCTGATATCCTCATTTTCTCAAAAAGAACTCAAGTTGATCGAATCTCAACAAGTAGATTCCGTATGCTGGTAAGTATTGCAAGAATCAATTTTCGACAGTTAGAATAGGGGTTCTTAAACAGATTAAAGCTTAACTAAGGCCTTTTTGAAATTTTTGTTTAGTAATGCTTAAGGGACAAAGTGCGTAAATGAAGTCTCACTTTTGATCTCATAGTATTTCCAATGGATTAATTAGCACCTGATCTTTCATTTGACACCAAAAACAGCTCAAACAGACCACATCAGAGTTGACACTAGATCATGAAATTTTTTTTTGATCTATCAATTTATAGATGTCACGTTTTTAGCAATGCCATAGAAAGATGGCATTGTTATTTGCATTAATTTTCCATTCATTTTTGATAGGATTTTCAACCATACGCCATCTTTTAGTCCAAGAGTTATTTAAAAACATACACTTTGTGAAAAGTGGTAATTCACTTCTTTTGATCTCTGAACTTCAAATGCGGTTTTCTATGCGAGTAATTTTTTTTTCACTTCAGTATTGACCCAAATTAAAGTTTTTATCATATTTGATTGACTGTGTGAGTGACATGTCTCAAATAATATTTCGTCCCTTTTCCTACTAAAATAAGCGCATTGCCTGTTTAACATCAATCCAGGGCAAACTAGTGGAGAAGCATTGCACGGATGTTTGTCATCCTGGTATTAAAAATTAACCAAGACAACGAAATATTTGAAAATATTTACAATTTATTATGAAATCTTATAAAATATTGCATTCCAACCTCTTTATATACGAATGCCCTATCTAAATTCAACTCATGTGGAATAACATCAAAATATTGAGTTCATTTAAAAATCAATTAACGATTAGAATATTCTTTCTATTATAAATATCGCATGTATCATGTACACGATTGACTTACTTAACATCTCAGATCAAATAGGAATTAAATAGAAACAGAAAAACAGCATAGATTCGGAAATGATACAATTTGAAAGATATATGTAAATGTCTCACACAATAACCATTTTACATGTTATACGTTTTAAGGAAAGAAGGAGGGAAAGTAGCGCAACAGATTTCGGACAGTCATATGTTGGATTTTGGCTATTTTCTCAGGATTAAAACAGGAGCATATATTAAGTCAATGCATTACTTATAGGAAGAACACTCGTAGAGATGATGAAATAATTTCGACTTTGAGACAGGGAAGATGCAAACTATCCACCCCTGCTTTTTCAATTGTTGATGCATCGATACTTTGTGTTTTGACACACAATTAAACCCAATGAAGGAATAAGTAATTTCTTTAGGGGTTTTGAAGATATCCATTATGGATGACCAAAATTAGCTGAAAGCAATGGATCACATGAGTTTTCCCTATGGGAAAATAACATGGGAAATATTGTTTTCCACTTTATCGAAGAGGAATCACTTATTCCTTTAAAGGGTGTAACTGTATCTTAAAACGCAACATATTAATGCAACAAAAATTGAAAATACATGGGTGGAAGGGATTGAAAATCAGGACAACATTTCATGGGTGGGTTGTTTGCATCTCCCCTGTCTCAAAGTCGAAATTATTTTATCATCTCTATGAGTGCTTTTCCTGGAGATAATGCATTAGCCTAACATATACACCTGTTTCAATTCTCAGAAAATAGTCAAAATCTAACATATGACTGTCCGAAATCTGTTGCGCTACTTTCCCTCCTCCTTTATGAATCATATACAAATATGTAATTCTATTAAAGTAAATACCTGTGAATCTTTTACAGGTGATATTCCACGAAGCCCTAGTGACTAGTGGAATATCATCGTGTGAAAGTGTCACAGGTATTCACCGAATATATAATAAAATATTTGTTTTATTATTCACTGTTATATTTCTCGCTCCGGTAATGGAATAACAAACTATTGATGTCTAATTATAATCATAACAATGTACTCCCAGGGAAAATCAAAATTACAGTCGTGACTGCTGAATATCATTTGATATTCAACGGAAGTCGCGTGATCTCCGTTGAAAAACGCTTATTATTTTTTAGTCACGTGTAGGACATTAATAAGGTCAATCAGAGAGTTGGGAATATGACAGTGATATCATAAAAAATTATCATTGACATGTGATTTTCCTTGTATGATATTTCACTCTAAAATAATATATCCAACTTGAGGTTACTTTTTGTCCATTCGTCGCATATAAACAATTGAATCGCATTCCACAATACATATATAATAAGAATACATATATAAAACCAAGAAAATGTTTATTAACATATGTACAAACGTGGTTATTCCTCACGTTAGATACGTCAGCATCATCAAGAATCAAAAATACATATAAACATTTCGGAGCATATTTCTGATTTACTCAGATGGCGTACATTTCAACTTTATACATAAATGTGTTATACTAGGCATTATATATATATTTATAAAAACAAACTCTCAATATTCACACTAACTACAATGTATATACGTTAGTTTCTCAGTAAATATATTTTTTAATGCCCATTTTCAGTTACTTTATCATATGTCAGAGCAATCACTCAAAAAATCAAAACTTATCGGAATAGATATTATGATTATGTGGTTTCAAAATGAAATGTTTATAGCTCAAATACCTGGTTCTACGACTGGTAAAATTGCCTATACTTATTTTCGTACGTTTCATTTAAGTGTACGTTACATATTGTAGTGTGTGCTTCTACTGCTATGCTATTATCTACACACTGCACAATAATTATCATTGTTTGTTGATGATTGTTTTTGTGTGACTAATGTGTCAGTTCACACAGCCAATATGCTATGCAATTATCTACACACTGCACACTAATTATCATTGTTTGTTGCAGATTGTTTTTGTGTGACTATTGTGTCAGTTCACACCGCCAATATGCTATGCTATTATCTACACACTGCACACTAATTATCATTGTTAGTTGCAGATTGTTTTTGTTTGACTATTGTTTCAGTTCACACCGCCAATATGCTCTGCTATTATCTACACACTGCACACTAATTATCATTGTTTGTTGCTGATTGTTTTTGTGTGACTAATGTGTCAGTTCACACCGCCAATATGCTATGCTATTATCTACACACTAATTACCATTGTTTATTGCAGATTGTTTTTGTGTGACTATTGTGTCAGTTCACACCGCCAATATGCTATGCAATTATCTACACACTGCACACTAATTATCATTGTTTGTTGCAGATTGTTGTTGTGTGACTAATGTGTCAGATCACAACGTCAGTATGCTATGCTAGTATCTACTCACTACACAATGATTATCATTGTTTGTTGCAGATTGTTTTTGTGTGACTATTGTGTCAGTTCACACCGCCAATATGCAATGCTATTATCTACACACTGCACACTAATTATCATTGTTTGTTGCTGATTGTTTTTGTGTGACTAATGTGTCAGTTCACAACGCCAATATGCTATGATATTATCTACACACTGCACAATAATTATCATTGTTTGTTGCATATTGTTTTTGTGTGACTATTGTGTCAGTTCACAACGCCAATATGCTATACTATTATCTACACACTGCATACTAATTATCATTGTTTGTTGCAGATTGTTTTTGTGTGACTACTGTGTCAGTTCACATCATCCACATTCATGACACTTGTCCATAATTGAATTTAATCAGGTACAAAAGGGAAGCATGGAATTCTCATTGAATCATATTGAAGCATCTCACAGGGCAGTCATATCATGCCCGGATGCTGGTTTGGTCATTTTGTATTCAACTTGAATTTTACTAGGCCTCCTTTGTTGCAAGCCATCCTGTCCATTCAAGACTATAGCAGGGACGTTGTTTCGATTAACATCGCCGTTGGTTGTAAGTTTGTTAGTGACATCTTGGATGTCATGAGACTCGATGTCAAAAATGTGCCTATCTGAGAATTCATCTTTCTTACCGACTTGAGGTAGAAGGTCGTCTAGATCTGATAGTTCTTGTTTGGTGAAGACCCAGTCAAGTGCTTTGCGGACAAAACACAGCAGAAGGATCTGAAACATTTAAAAGCATTTGATGTTGTAGATCGCGTGGTTATTTGTGCCATCTTTAATATTAGGTTCAACCGTTCCGATGCCAATTTATTATTATGTAATAACTCATACCCTTTAAAGAAATGAAATCTTCATACCCGCGGGCTTCAATATGGATATATAATACAAACCAATGCAGCTTACCATAAGAGGGAATGCAATAGAGATGCTCTTGATATTCTTCACCACCGTGAGTACTGTCAGGCAGAACAATTGTATCAGAGTGAATAAGTGTACCCTGGCAGTTGAGACAGTCCTCAGGTATTTATGGTCAGGTTGATGTTTCTGAGGCATTAACAGTAGGAATATGCGGTCTGCAAGCTGGACACCACCAAGGGATACTACACCCATGTAAAGAAAGACACCGTACAGAACCGGCATTGGTACTCTCTGGAATTACATAATGGCATATTATTATAAAGGTGTCTCTCCGGAAATTGTGCATTTACATGAAATTTGTTTATTGTAAATGAAAAGATTGTCGGTGTATCCATCGTCAAGTTAAAATTAGTTCCAAGGTGGTTTCAGGGATTTCATGCATTGTGCTCCCATATACGAAACTTTTTTCAAAATTAAAATTATTCAATATACAGATACTGTAAACAACAATGGTTGTGTTTGTACATATTTGTAATATATTCTAGATATTTAGCTTTAAGCATACTAGTAAATGATTAAAGTCCCCGATAAATCGGGCTACGTATACCGCCGTGTTTACATTAGGGGATTAGAAGAGTTTATTTTTTATTTAGGTATGCAAGCTACGTATATCAATATTAGGCCTTCATTCATGTACTCGTGTGCATGTAATCAGCATGCCCTTCAATATTATGTAAACCAGGCTATTCAAGTATAATGTACACTATTTATGTGTGTACTACATACAATACAATTCCCTGGGAAACAAAACACAAATACGTTTTATATGTTCAAAATGAGCCATTTGATTGATGCAAACACTAAATAGCTTCATAAATAACATCTACAAAGTATATCTAATAGTAATTTTCAATTTCAATGTTGAAACTTCCCTGGTTAAGATTATATGGGAAATCATCACGAGACGAAGATCGTTCGCCTTCCTGGCTTACCTCTGAATCGTGTACCGGGCAATCTCTTTATATAGTTTAGCGAGAGCGGTGCGCCTGCGCAGTTTTAAACTTTGGCGCACACTTTAATAAAAAAGAATGAAAACGTTCACTATTTCATGAAAGAAAATGATAGATGTCAGTGTGTCTTACCTGCAGTACTGAAGCGAATAACACAGAAACACCAATGATACCGAATGCAAGACACGCCGTGACTCGTTGCTCTCTAGTGCCAAGGAATTTAGGCTTCTCTCCTGGTGCGGCTTCCTTAGATTCTCTCCCCAGACTCTGGACGTGGCTGATAGAACGTACAGTCGCCGCCACAAAATACGGGGTCCCTATCACGCTGCAGATCGCTATTTGCACACTAATGATCAGTAAGTCAAGATGGTATCCAGGGCCTTTCTGTAATCCAAAAAAACTCTATTTGAATTCTGGACAGCCAATATGTTCTAACCTTGATTTCATATTTCTAAATTTTGTCACTTTTTGGAATCAAGTGAAATGAAAAAAACATGTGTGACTTGAATCAATGTGGCTAAGTAAATCGATAATTATGAATATGGGTGTACAAGCTCTAGGTATGGTTATCGGGGTCCCCGACAAGGTATATATAATATATATGTAGTGTGCTTCTTCATTTACTAACTAGGCTAAATCATATTATCATAGAAATAACATTAAAATAGAGATTTTATTTATTATCACGAGGACAAAAATATAATTATAAACTCATTATAGCTCTGAATTTTGTTTTTTTAGAAAAGGTCATGACAACTTGACAATATGACAGGGTCTTTATCTCCAATATTGGTCTCTAATTTCACGTACTGCCTGACTCAAATTAGATTTACATTAAATTGCAGCTATTTTTGCACAAGGAAATAAAAATACTACAATTGGATATATAAAGTGAATATTGTAATTGATATTGTAACTGAATACATGTAAATAATTGTAAGTTTCACTTCATATCATCAATTATGTTTGTAATCATAAGGGCTCTCAATTGAAATAATAGTTAGGTCGCGTAATCAACTCATGTAGCTATTACGGATGTATTAATTAAATTTGTAAAATAAATTTGTAGTTCAGTGCTGCTTTCCAGTCCTGTGCTTTCATAGTTGTAAGATTGACTAATGCACAACTAAACTGATAAAAATAATATCAAATGTCAGAAGTGTCACAGGAAGCTAAATATTGCAGTACTACGCTTTTTAATGTCATGATAAATTGTGTGTGATATCGGAAGGTACTGGATAAAATATTGGATAGCACTTTAAACCATTAAATAGGATTAGGACATAAACATATTGATATTGTATTCCTAGTTATAAGACAAAGCAAGCACCATTAAGAGAAATTTGATAGGCATTATAATAGTTATTCGAAGACAAAAACGATGAGGTATTTCAACGCTTTTCAAAAGTAAGTAATTGAATATGCCACAACTCTCAATTCGACAAAAAATAAAGAAGTACCATAATCACTTCACGTCCATGGTTTTTAAAGATAATTTACCCTGGGCGCAGAGTCTAGTCAACGAATGCAAAGGGTAAAGATAAGTTAACCTCCGCAAATAACAATGCATCTCAAATCCCGATGACGAAATTCAAAATCAGAACAACCCTAATCCATCTAATTACCTCAATAGAAATCTCGCATTTCTTTAATACATTTTTTATTTATAGCTCGAAGACACTTGTAAAGTGTATGTCAGCGCTTGTTTTCTGCGCGGTGGTGTATTTGCTTACATACTATTTATCAAGTCTGTCCCAACAACTGACATCCGATAAAGGTAGGAACCAAGAGTAATGTAGAGAATATGTTGTTTGACTGATCATGATCATTTAATCGATTGTGTCATTGCTTTTGAGATTCCCATCAGTATAATAACCTTTCAAATGTTCAAAGGAAGAAGAAAACTAGTTGCAACTAGATGCAATTTACATAGTTTCTGTTTCAAATGCATTGCGTAATCATTTACAATCGCCTTGGTTTTTTGCATTTTGTAGATATTTCAAGAGTAAAATAGCAATGCAAAAAGTGAAAAAGTTGCACATGTACCAGAAGGTTATAATCAAATAAGGTGAAAATTAATGTATTCATCCTTTATTAATGTTATAGGTAAAAATGGCCATATAGATACTGCGACCTATACCGAACACACGCTCGTTCTCTATGCCTTCTATGAATCCGAAGAGAGGAAAGCGAATCTCCAATTCTTTATTGACTTTGCTATTAAGAAAAATAATTCTAACATTGATTATGTGATCATTGCGAATGGTTTCTCCTGCACAGTCGAGATACCAACAATGTACAACATATATGTGATAAGAAGAGAAAACACTGGCTTTGATGCCTGTGCATGGAAACAAGCGTTGGCTAAGATGAAGAAAGAAAAAGGGAGATATTGGTATAACTACGTATTTTTTCTTAATGCCTCTGTACGTGGACCATTCTTACCAGGATACGCAGAAGATCAGAACTGGATTTCACTATTCACAAAATATTTGACAAACGATATTAAACTAGTCGGAACAAGTATTTTCTGCCCTGACCCAAGATCTCCAAACAAAACGTTACACCTACAATCCATGTTTCTAGCGACTGACCAGGCTGGACTTACGATTGTTGAGCCTATCCTTCAATGTGGACATAACAAAGAATTTGCAATCAATAATGTTGAGATGAAACTGACTCAGGCATTCCTGAAAAATGGATATAATATTGCATCTTTGTTGAAACGCTGGCAAGGCCACGATTTCAGGGATAAGGCGAAAACACAAGAGATGTGCGAACACGACATAACAGGGAAGCCACATGGGGATCCGTACTTTCATAATTTGTACTTCTCTAACGTTGATATATCGCCATTTGAGGTGATATTTTTCAAGACAAATAGGGGAGTAAACGATGACCTCGTAAAAGCATACACTAAAATGATGTATGAGAAAATGCAGAATTAAGTATTTATTTAACATTGTTGGATCTCATTTGATACTTTTATTGCTTTTGCAAGGTCTTATCTTATATTGTAAAGTTCAAGATTTGCCACTCGCGAAAAAAACTAAAAAAATTTGCCTCATGAAGTGATAAAAACAAAGGGTCAAAAGTACACGCATTTGACAAATGGGATACTAAAATCCAAAGCAAAATGTAAAAGCTTCTACAAAAATTACGAAAAACAAAAAGTAAACTATGGAATTAAATATTATTCATCTTTATATCTAATGTTGGATAAATCAATAAAGTCTATAAAGAATGACTCAAATTATAGAAAATTCGAAAAATTGACATAATATTTCTATTGGAACGCATTGAGGTATATTAACCGATGCACCGATACAATCCTAATGTTCTTGAATTACTCATGTATATCTGTATTTTTCCGTAATACATGTCCGGATCAAGTGTTTTTTATCTTTTAAAAATAAAAATTCACGAAGAACGTGATAGAAAAGAAACAAAATGTTCTTATGAACGAAGCCCATATTTACCTTGAGTTTGAACCTCCTATTGTTGACAATGACTGCCGTAATCTGCTGGTCCATAAAGACAAGGATGCTTAGCAGGAGGGCCGGGACGAGGGCAGCTAGAACGGTCCACCAGGCGTTCTTACTAAATGGAATTATGATCCAACCTCTGTCTGGCAGTGTTGGCTGGAATATGAAATAAAGCAAATAAGTATGTAAATATGGTTGTAGAAATAGGCTTAGACTCAGCGGATATACGAGCAGCTCGGGAAATCCAGCTGGGTTGATTCTCGTGAATCCTACGTATTGTATTAAATTAAAAATTAATTAACGATTAATTTTAAAATTTTATGATATAACCAGACATTTGTGGTTGCATCCCGAAAGACATTTGGATTTCAGAATATATCATTGGCATGCTTTTAATCTATGATTACAAACAACATGACAAAACCACAGCATTTATACTTACTCTGAATTCTGTTGGGATGTTAAGTTTAGGAGTGTCTATTCCTACAATTATGTCTATGGCCGTCATTGTAGCTATGGCAATAGGAACTGCATAATCCGCCAGTGCCTTTCTCACCTACAACAAAACAAAAGAGATCACTAGCGATCTAGTTATATTTCTTACATTTTGCTTTCATAATTTTCAATGTTTTATGGGGTGTAGTATTAATATTAGATATCTACCTTATGCATACTAAGGAATCAATTGATATTTTCCCAATTCGAAAGCAATGGTTAATGATTGTCATATGCACTTACAATGACAGGAAAGAATCTCGTCTCCTTGAAGATTTTCAGTCCAAATGCGATCATAAACGTTGATATGAAAACGATAAACGAGAAGAAGAAAACATCAGGTGAGAATGTTGCTTTCTGGCAGTCACTCAGCGTTCCGTTAAAGGCATCACACATGGTGAATGGTATATCTGTGCTGCTGGCGTTAGTTATATTCAGCGTCCTGGACACAAAATCAATATCAGTTGTGTTCGAATCTCCCAGGATGCATTTACATGTTGAATTATTCTGTTGGAAAAAGAAGAAATTTCCCTCCTCTCCCGGTTTCAGCTGAAGTACGTGGAAGTTTCTGTGGACGGGATGCTTATCCTGGATGTAGATCATGTTCTGGCAGGCCTCTAATATGAAAATTAGAGAGATGAGACACGAGAAACTCTCCTCTGTGAACCTTGTGATATAGCTTACCAGGGCACTTAGGTCGAACATGACTACGATTAACAGTATGATAGCAGTCCATAGTCCTACCCATAACCGGAACTCCAGATAGTACCAACCTTGATCACTGCAAAGGAAACATTTACTTGATTTACTTGACACCTATTTATTTACTTGTTTCAATTATGTAAATAAGTAAAAAAAACATATTCTTTGTTAGAAAAATTGTTAATAGAAAAAATTAATTATTTTGTATTTAAATAAACCAACGAACAACAGATATTTCCTGAAATTACTGAAATTACTGAAACCATGAATTCAATACTCAAACACTTCCCTCAGGAATTTTGGATAATGTTTTGAGGCCTGTTTACAAAAAAACTTTATCAAACTAACATGTGGGCAGTACAATCAATGAAAGTTCTCATACATACTTGCAGAATCCATACACGATGGTCTCAAAGACCAAGACTGGACCTGTGGCCCCCAGTATGGTTAAAGGCTGGCCAGATAGGAGAGCGTAGGTTATTCCACAGAATGCAGCTGATATCAATGACTCGAAGGAAGCCTGGAAGAAAAATTTGACATCATTCCCAAACTACCATATAAAGAAACATTTCTGATATGCAATCTTCATATATCTGGTTAAGTTTCATCAGATATGACTATAATTGGGAGAATACCAACAAACATATAATTATGAATTGAAAATGAACGAACCATATTATTGCCTATAGCTGTACCCATTAGCCCACCGAATGTAATAGTTGCCGATAAACTAGCAAAGTAGGCAAACACCAGTGATGCCAAAGTTTGAAAATGTATTGCATCTTTGAAGTCGCTCAAGTAGAAAGGCGCCTTTCGCTTTATGTCCTGCACCAAACCCCCAAATAGCCTGCAATTTATATAAAATATAGTACAGCTGAATTAGACCGTTCGACTCGTATTCATGAACATATATTAGGGTATTTTCAATCCTTTCTATATATATATGTATGTATCTCATACTTGAGTGGGTTTGGGGTAGATATCACCCGGGAATATATATCGTATCTGAGGAGCGGGCAGGATATATTGTATATGTCCCGCTCCAGGCCAAATGCGGGCAGATATAATATATCCATCCCGCTCTCGGAAATTTTTCAAAAGTTTAAAAAAGTTTAAATATCAAAGTTTTAATTTTTTAATTTTAAAATTTTATTTTTTTAAGTTTAAATGTTACAATTTCATTATATTGAACAAAAAGAATATTACGAAAATGTTAGATATAAATATCTTGTCATTTGAAAAAGGTGGAAAGGTTATATCTACCCTAAACATAGCCTTTAAAGACCAGGTTTTACCATAATATTATGGTCTGATGGGCGTTGTTTGTGTTTTGTGCGTGTTGACTGTTCAGCTTGGTTTATTTTAGATACCAAATTCCAAACTAAGGGTACACGAGTCTGCTTTTTGAAAATATAATCTGTGATAATCTAAGGTCGATGCAAAGATGGTAGCGGTGATGATTGTTTGATTGCACTGACATCTTTTGATGAATTCTATATTTATATCGCCGTTAGCCTTTGATTATTACACATTATGACATAATAACACTGTGGACACCATAAAATAACTGATGAGAGATTGAGTCAACATTCCTGTGTCAAGGCTTGCCCCTAATATTGGACTAGAATCCTCTGGTGGTGATGAGATATATAGAGATTATCCTATATGAGGTTCAGGATATTGGGATTATCCCGAGGCCAATATAATATATCTGCCCGAGGGCCGTAGGTCCCGAGGGAAGATATATTATATTGGCCAAGGGATAATCCCAATATCCTGAACCGACTATAGGATGATCTGTTTATCCCATACCAATCACATTGTTCAATTGTTGCAACCAATCGTGGGATTATTTTAAAATATTTATGTCCAGTTTTTTATTCTTGTCCGTAGCCGGATTTTCCTGTTCAAATATTTGAATATTAACGGGGCATACTGCTCCTTCCCTTCTCTAAAGCATCAAACAGATCGCGATCGATTGTTTGCGTTTTTCTCCATTGTCGTTTACAGTATGCGAACGTTACAAAAAAAGAGCCAATACGGGAACAGCGATTATGACGTAGCGGGCAGATATACTATATCTGCCCGCTCGGAGCGGGACGTAAAGCTATATCTGCCCGCTGATGAAGATATAAGTTTTTACAAACCGGCTTTATGTACCCGTCACACGTCCAAGTATGGGATAAAAAGATATAGTCTAGCTACAAGCCTCTGTGAACCCCCCCCCCCCTCTACTTGACTCAACACCTTCTCACACAGCTTGTACAAGGTCTTATAACTAGACTAATAGCGATATGAAGTACTGACCTTCCAGTTCTCCTTATCCTATCGTGTTCATCTTCAGTATGCTCAATAATTTCATCCTCACCCTCCAGACATTGGGTCCAAGTCTAAAATATATACAAGGATGCTTTAAAATTAGGATACATAGAAAGGCGTGTTAATAGAAACGTGTTTATAACCTTGATATATAGCTAGGTTGAAATAATACAGATGATACAAACAGGCAAAAACAAGTAGGATTCATAATGCACCCCCTGGGTGAACTTAAGATCACACTGTGTATGCATGCGTAATAAAGTGAATGGCCTTAACTGAATAATCGAGCTCTCGGGAATCATGCAATGATGCCACGACATACCTTATCGGTGTAGTGACTTGGTGGTTCTAGACGTGTAGTGTGATCCCAACCGGTTGACGGAAGCACCGTCGCGTCGTTCATAAACAAGTCAAGGGCATGGTGAATACCGACCTTAGTTTGAGCGGTGTAGGCAGTCTCCCGAAACACCTGCATAGAACAAATAAATAAATTTACGAAATACATGTATTCTGACATACTCTTACAGCTAATAAGGTATGTTTTCTTATCTACTTTCATCTGTTCTATCATTAAACTAAACTTGAACGACATTTTGAATTCTAATTTATGTTCTAATGTTGAATGGAAATTTTTTGGATTCAAGGTTAAGATATAAGATAACAACAAAATATAATTCAAAGTGAGAAATTCCAAATTCTCGATGGAGACTAAAGATTCAGAAATATCAAAAGATAAAACGGAGAATACGTACTGGGCATGCAAACAAGGTACCCATCGACCTGGCTATTTCATGATACACAGATGACGCAGAATTTGGGCCAATAAGCAGAAACACAAAACGTGTTGGAGCATTAACTTCATTCATCCCCTCGAGGGTGATAGGGTCTTTAAGTCTTAGGAAAGCACATATTGGCTTATGCACTTCTTCGCATCCTCCCACCAGCAGCGTCGCACCTTCGGCATTCTTCGGAACTTTTCGTGCAAACTTTTTTGATGGTTTCTAAAGGGCGAAGCAAGGTTATAACAATTACATGATCAGTATAAAAATTAATCATTTCAAATGTTTACGCAAAGGTACTGTTAACTTTGCATTATACGTGGTATAAGAAAATAACGAACAAATAACTCATGAATGCAACAATTTATAAACATCTTGTAAAACTCTCGATCTAGTTGTAGTTACATATACTTCAAAAGTTCAACTAAGTTCCAAAACACTACTTGCGAGATAAGCCAAGTTGTTTTGTTGATTAGAGAATTCTGTTTTCATAATGTTTTTCTTAAATTACAAAAGAGGGTTTAATTTTTATTTTAAAAGGCGTATGATATAACCAATAAGGAATTGATTGTTGGCGTGGACCCCTTATACTGTTCGTCCCATGAAGTACCTTATTTAGGGACAGCCTCCTTCCATTAGGGGGATATCCACCTAAACTGCTTTGGATACTAAACAAAGAACCTTTTCTGCTATTTTTGTTTTTGTTATAAGCTGTGTTAGTGTAAGCTGTTGTCTCGTCGATCTCGTGAATCAGGTGCAAGTCCCCTAGACTCTTAGTGTTAGTGTTAGGCTTGAGTATTACCTTGTAATGAAAATTAACAGCATTGTTAATAAAAGCAAGAATCAGCAATATAGGAGTTAAAAAGTTGAGAACAATATCTGAGATACACTGTTTTGTTTTTCACTTTTTGATTTGTTGAATCCATGTTAAAAACATCCTTTGATCTTTCCCTTGGTGCTTTTACTGTCCGTTGGTTCGTTTTGAAGGGCGATTTTACCCTCCATGTCTTATTTTCATCCTACAGAATGAAGCCCCCACACAACTATGTACCCGGGCCTCGTTCTGGAGAGCAAATATTTCCTGAACTTGCGTGTTTTAATGCCCCTTATTGCTAGCTACGTAATGAGAAGCATCAAACAGAATTAGATTAGTTAGATTCCATGCATGAATACTTTTTAAAAGATAATTAGATATTATATGTTATGTAAGACATTGCTTGCACGATTTAAATAATAATATTTTAAATATAATTAAATTACATATTAATTACATGTATATCAATCAGCTGAATAATGTTATATGTCTAGTTGAAAGCCCATGGTGATATCAAATTAAATATATCATCGAAAATGTACCTCTTGTTTTTTTACTTCGCCCTCAGACGTACTGTTCGATCTGCTGCGTGTTGGTGTTAGACTACCACCTCTATAACCTTCTTTCGGCGATGATGGACTCCCGGTGTCTACCGATGAGATCGACCCTGAAGAAGAAATTCCATATTTAGACCTACGATCTCTTACTATTTCTGTTAAGTGACTTGTTCTTTACATTTTACGTAACGACAATAACAATAGGGAGATTAAGTTAGCACTGGTTTGAGGAACGGTTACGTGAAACGTAACATTATGGTCCCATACGGATTATTTCAACCTCGGGCCTTTATTTTCACGATTGAGTGTGAAGATGTGAGGAGAATAGTAAATTGTGATTGGGTTCATTTTATACCACTTGAGAGATGGACAACAATTCCCGGGTGTCATAATATTACACTTACGTTCAATTCCACCCAAATGCATGTAACTTATAATTAACCTGCAGGCCCGTAGCCAGAATTTTCCAAGGGGTTCACTTTTCCCAAAAATTCTAGGGGGGGGGGTCACTTTGGCAAATTTGGCCAAAAATCACTCAGAAAATAGTCAGAATGGTGAAAAACTGCATGATTTTAAAAGCAATTTTGGCCAGGGGAGGGGGGGTCCCCGAACCCCCCGCGACCTGTCTAATAATTGATGATATTGTGTATATAATATACTGTTGTTCTTACTCTGGAACGGAGATCCAATCTGGTACTGGTGGATGTGGGATTTTAGGTATATTTCTGATATCGTGGACGCTCTTTCCTCTGAACATATCTCCTCGCTGATTAGCTCATCACATATGGCTTCTACAAGCAAACGGTTGAAATTGCGTTGATATGTTTTAATTATTTTATCAGTTAACTTATAAATACCAAATAATACAAATAGATAATAATTCCCACATTTAATGAATACAAGCAAATGAACAACACAACGAATTATGTTAATGAAAACACAAATTAAATTTCCAAATGTTAGGTAAGGTTCATTTGTCATGACTTTAAAGTTTTTTGATTGCATAATATAGAGAACCACCTAGTGTGTAATAAAAATCGTTAATTATGAGAGAGGATAGGGCATTTTACAAAATAATATTTTTTACTGTAAAGTGTAAAGCTTAGTCTTACTGGCAATTTCAGCATGCGTCGTGGCATGGCTATCCAGACACACGACCCCATTGTTGAAATATTTCTTCAACTCATAGATGGCCCTCAGAGAAAGGCATGACACATGGGGTTTCGACCATCTTTTGAAACTATCTTCGACGATCTCTTCATATTTAATCCATCTGTTAAAAAGAAAAATTATGAAATTTATCATAATGATTTAAATTGATTTTCATATAATGCGCTTATATAGGACATGTTGCTTCATCAAGCTTCGGACCTATCCTCAGATAGAACGTAGTGATTGCGTGTGGGAACCGACGATGCTTATAGGATCGGAACTGATACATTTGCTAACTAGTTATTTTATCAACGTTGATACAGGAGTAGTGAAATTTTCTACGTTTGATTGTTTGATTTTAAGTTTGATTTTGTGTTAGTTCATCATCAATAAATAAATCTAGATCATACAAAAAAGTGTGACACTTTGAGAAATCAAAATAAATTGATACGTCCCCGGTTGGAACTCCGCGTTATTTAGTAAGAATGTCTGTTGTGCCTTAATTTAGGTAGGAATCCAAGCATAAACTGCAGGTTTAACAAAGCATGATGCTATAGTTGTCAAATATTAGCATGAGATATCCTAGTTACAAACGAATCGCTAATTCTTATTTCTGACCCTGCATTACATTTTAAAAGAATTGAATCAGTTCAAAGGTTACGACAAGTATGGGTATGGTTTGATCTAACATGATGTATAACATGAGTCGGTGGCTGATATATTGTCTAGTGGCTTGCACAAAGGGCATCACATGGCACTATTTGAGGTTCTTAACAAGTACTACATGTAACTTAAATAAATACATACCGCCCTACTTCCCGCCATTCCACGTCAAGTGGGTCAGTCTGTGAAATGCTATAAAGCTTCTGAAGCTCACAGAATATCGGCTTTGCCTCTGTATCGAATTCGTCATCCTCATCTAAAAATGCAGATGCATCGATTATTATAAAGGGGTTTCAATGAAATCCGTCTTACCAGGTCAGAGTGAATTTGATGTTTGATGTTCCCTTACCGATTGACAAAATCAAACCTTGGGTGAGCTCAACTTTGTTTATAGACATTTAGAAAGACACGTACTTAAAAAGACATTTATATAAATACTAATCGTGGCATCACCTTTATTTTCAGTCTTGCTCTGATATCTATGTTGCCTCTAGTTTAAAGTGCCTTTATTTTCATGTAAAACCCTTTAAGCTGATTGAAATGACATGGTTACTTTATCGAAGACAATGAAATACAATATAGAAAAGAGAGCGAGTAATACAGACTTCAAGCTTTGAACCCACATTTTATTTGAAGAGCGTCGGATTCCTAAAACACTGAACGTGGTAATATGAAATGAGTCACCTTAAGATTCACCCATTCCGTATTAACACGTAGAGTTGCATCGAATCTTTTAAACTGTTGAAATCGTTTATTTGGAGATACAACGAACGGCACTGACCCATTCTGATACTCAGACCATCTCTGCTATGCACAAGAAGGAAACTGAGTGAAGGCTGTGATATCTCACGATGACACTGATTCCGTGATTCCGCTAAAGAAGAATGAACCTTCAACTTGCCGAAATGCTACAAAGTTATTTCAGTTTGTTATGAAGAAATTGATTTAAAGGGCATTTGATTGATAGGGGAAACTTTTGCTCTCTGTGTTTTCAGTTTTTAGACTTGTTTTTGTCTAATGCTTTCCTCAGTTTAAAAGTTTTATTGTGAATGTCATAGATGAACAATGCTATAAATATCTCATAAACTTGTGAAATTACTTTATATCATAGTTATGTAATTGATTTACGGGATGTTCCTCGAACGCCTAGGCCATTTAAAGTGATTTACAATGGAAGAGAATATCGCAATCTTTATCTGAATTGTACTTGAAAATGACTGAAAATGATTATTCAAAAATTGTTACATTTATACCAAAGCACGCTTTTGTGCTTTGACATTTCGCTTCACAAGTACGTGAGAAAATATTTGAATTATGGCTTTTTATTTAGCAAGTTTTAATTCATGTGTAAATTATATTCATCTTAAGGGGCACGCTGTGAAAGTGAAATGGCATGATGATGATATACAAAAAGTTAACAATAAGTATCGTGCGATCAAGACCAGACAATGGTCGAGGGACATATACATGTACATACACTGTACCTTCTCACACGATAGCCATATACATGTAGAACCCCCCCCCCCCTTGACGAATGGATTTGAATTTGTTTAATCTAGATCTAATTCTTGTATACCCAGGTCATTTTAAATAGTGGTCATTGATAGTTTATAAAGCTTTAAATAACCATGGACCCCGTTTATTCTCGCAATTAATTAGCCAGCATTTTGTTTAGTGCCATCCTTTTCATTCTGCAGATGGTTTCTGGACTAATTCCTGTCCTAGTATATTAAAATAATACCAGAGTTGACAAAAATGGTTTATTCATTGAATAAATTAATTCATATAGTTGAATAATATTTTTAACAAATTACTGAAAATTGAAACGAAGGGAAATTTTAAAGGAACTATATATACATTTTAAAAATTTATCAATCAAACTGGGATGTTCCTTATTAAGTAGATAACTGTAAAATATATACACAGGGTTGACAGTAAACAACAGTCAACAAATGTTTCTACTAAAATAGTACTTGATCTATATACAATGATAGCCTCTGGCATTTTGTAAAACACTTATCCCGTTACAAACGCAAAACTGCACTTATATCTAACAAACATACATTCTCAACATAAAGCGACGAATTTCAGTAAGACAACAAGCAATGAGGTCCCTACTGTGTTCAAGTGATATTCAACCGCGACTGCACCCTACTCTTTTAAAACATAATAACATAATAACAAACATGAAAAAACAATCTAACATCCCTAATAGGAATAGATAGATAAGCATTTAAGTATTTACCATCTAATGTTATTTGACTGTTGACTTCTGATGATTGCTGGTTCAGGGGAGGAAATTTGAAAGGCATGTTCTCCCCATCGTCGTAGCCAAACACGGTACATATTCTTGCCGAGTCGGCATTTTGCTCACCACCATCCGTACTCATCTCCGATCAAATTTTATCAACGATATACGTAGATATAAAATCCAAGAAAATAACTTTTTTCTGTTTGCTTGATCTGTAGTTGTGTTTTTAACGTCCGCGGTAACGCTCTTTATTTTATAGTCCTTTCTTGTAATGACGTTTAGCATTCATTGTGTCAACAACCGAATACCAGTGTCTCCAATAATGTTTACCTAGGATAAATAAATAAACAAATAAATAAATTATGCGAAATTCTCATAACAAACTATTGTTAATGATATAAAGAATTTAATTTGACGCTAATAGTTTACATATAAGGAAATAAACAATTCTATGCATGCTTACAAATGCGCGTTGATGCAGAAATTAAGATAAATATTTACATTTAAGTATTCACCCATATATCGCACAAAGATCAAAAAGTCGTAAGAATAACGGAGAATAACCTTTAAAAACATATATTTATTTTTTCTCCCAGCTGCCTTTCACTCACCTTTTCTACAAGAAAGGTTGCCTCTCGGTTTAGTGTTGCTCAGTTTGCTTTGCTTGTTTCATCGGTGAATGATATTATCACAGGCCAATCTTCTTTTAGAAGTAAGCTTAAACTAACTCGTTTTCATAATCATCTTACATGTTAACATTATCTACAGGGTATTCCAGACATACTTTCCCAACCTCAAACAAAATTTTCAATAAGATTAACGACAAATTCATGCGTATTTAATATTCGTTCAAGTTGTGAAAACAGATACAATTTAAAAAGCTACAAGACTTGGATATGGTAAATGGGGCCTTATTTGTAGAAGTTTCGCGTCGATGGGGTTGTGTTGAAATTTATGATCCTCGGAACCAGCACATTAAAATACTTGCACTTTAATGGGATTGGTAATATTGGCACCAACAGTGTAATATATATCTGCGTAGTGCTAATGCCCCAGTCACAATCCCACTGGCCGCCAGTCGGGAAATAAGAATTGGTATGCTTTGTGGCGTACTGTTTGGAAAGAAGACCATTTACTAGACAATGTAAATCCAACGGGCCATCGTACAAATTAGAATAGATATATTTCCCAATCCAAGAGTTCGGATAATCAACCACATATATACGTACCATGTAAAAGTACAATATGTCCCTTAGGTCCTACTAGTGATAAAAAATTAAGAAAGATTTAGTCATAAAAATGCTTGACCTAGCTGCTGTTCCCGCCGTCTATTCAAAATATCTTAGAAATTGGCGTATGAATCTGGTCAAACAGTATAATGTTATAATGTTCCAACGATATTCTTTAATGATTACTTTTATCATAATACATACTTAACATGCATTGGTTTGCACATCATTGACCAATGAAAACATAGTATTTTGGCATAGCTAGATCCGAAACATCCCTGTCCAAAACTTGACGTGTGATAAATACATACAGTTTATATGTAAATACTATGACCATGATGCTACAAGCACTTCTGTACGAAGTAAATAAGTAAATTGCCAATTATTGTAACGCTCCTGGTCAGAAACAGGATCATTTATTGTCATGGGATGTCAAAAAGTAACAATTACAAAATGGCACAATGCATTTAATAGGTATGGGCTTGATATAAAAATGCTCAGGAGGAAATACTTTTGGAGCACTCTGTATTCCTTTACTAAAGCTCATATGAGTGTGCAACTTATCACAACAATTATATGATTCAAGGTGCCTCAATAGGCGACCTCAAAGGAGGAACATCCTATTCAACGTTCAGGTTCATGTAACAGTGTATCTTGACATCGCTTGATGGTTGGTTCTATCAAGAAAAAGTGTGGTCACAAAATACTAAGTCGGAATGTGATATTGATAAATAAACACAATAATTTCATTCATCAATTCGAGAAGTTCAGCCTAACCATTTATGTACAAATTCGGTATACTTATAATTATTTTGTTCTTTGTGAAGAGCTTATATTAAAAACACTTTACCAGAATCAAAATTGTGTACATACGAAAATAAGAATGAATCAACGGTCTGTTTAAATGTTCTTTTTATGAGTAAAGAATAACTCGGTTTATTCCATAGTTAGCATGATATTCATAGGATAACATGTCAAAATAAAAACGGTACTTTTGTTATCAGTGGTAAAATATGATATTTTTGACAAAGGTCCACGTGCAGTATGGCAAGTGATTTTAGACGGTCATATCTTTAACAATGAATTTTCTGGGTATAAATACAGTGGTTTTTATTAACACAATATGTTTTCTTTAAAGTGACGTCCCCATGATAGTAAAATATCAATCCCACTCTCTGAAAAATGATGGATGTCACTTTAAAAAAATGTAAGACTTATTTTCTAAAAAGAGGATCTTGACTGTTTTTCTCAATTTGAATGTATCAAGAGTTTCTTCTACACTAAATTAATAACTTCTGAAAAGGGGATTGGCATTGAAATGCGGTTATGTCCGCCATTTGTGACAACGGTATCGGACTTTACCGTTGTCAGGCTATTCCGGTGTGTATAGTAGATCTTGTCACTTCACAGATCATGTCATAGCATATAGGGTATTAGAACATGACTGTATTTACGCCTTCTATAAACTGTAAACAAAGTCAATGCTTCAGCTGGGTTATATTCGAGATCAATAACGCAGTGGTGGGTCGTAGTAATGGCGGACCATGATGAATATTCGAAACAATTTGGTGAGTTTTCATGTTCGAATCGTAATATAGACCTCAGAGCAGGGGTAATATCGTCGAATACACCCTATGGAGCTAGGCATAAAAGCTTTCGAACCCCTCACTCGCTTCGGTCGTTCGGGGTACAGAAAACGTTTTTGCCTAACCCTGCGGGGTGTATTCGACGACATAACCCCTGCTTTTCGGTCTATATTTCTTAATTAAGCTGCTTAAATATAGTTCCCAGTCGGTTTCAAACAACTACTCCATAAATGGAAAAGTCATAATTCAAGGTGGAATGGAAAGAATAGAGAAACGAACGAGCGCATCTCTGAGGTCAATAATTACCCAGATGTGAGTAGGTAGTTACCAGATTCCCCACTAGGTGGCTGAACATGGCAGGTATATTAGAAAGTTTCCTTAAACTTGAATATTATCAGTTTAAGTGGATCAATTTTCATATAATCCTTCTTCAATTTTACATGTAGACTTCAAATATGATATCCCTTTAACTCAATTTTGAATTTTGAATATTTAGTGAAGTGAATCAAGATTATTTCTCTTTGCATCTTGTATATTTATGATAGGAATCCTAAAAACGATAAAATGCATATTAAACTAGTAAAAATGGTCTGGGGACTAATGTCTTGTCTTATTCAATCAGATGATCGTTACCTAACTTGAACCGATTGGTCTTTGCAGTTAGATTCTTGAGTTTCGACTACGTGATATCAGGGTGCGAGCTAGTAGATAAACGGTGTTAGAAACTATAACAATAATTGTCACCTCGTTTGGTGGGGACGCAGATGATCAAAGTCCTAGTTAAATGTCAGGAGGGTCGTGGAATCATGTATTCTGATACTTTTGATTGACGTAGGGATAACTCTTGACACACAATGATATTATGAATGGTCGTGGGTACAAATATTAGAGCAAATGGTAGACTAAAGGTCCTGTACTTTCAGACATTTACACGTCACGTGAATATAACATGATCTTATACAAATGAGCAAATATTCAAGTCCGAGGAACGTTCAGACATTTACTCGACACGGGGGTGCAACATAATCTTATATAAATGAGCAAATATTCAAGACCGAGGAACTTTTGAGATTTACGCGACACGTGGGTGTAACATAATCTTATATAAATGAACAAATATTTAAGTCCGAGGAACGTTTAGACATTTACACGACACGTGGGTGTAACATAATGAACAAATATTTAAGTCCGAGGAACGTTTAGACATTTACACGTCACGTGGGTGTAACATAATTTTATATAAATAAGCAAATATTTAAGTCCGAGGAACGTTTAGACATTTACACGACCCGTGGGTTTAACATAATCTTATATAAATGAGCAAATATTCAAGTCCAAGGAACGTTTAGACATTTACACGACACGTGGGTGTAACATGATTTTATATAAATAAGCAAATATTCAAGTCCGAGGAACGTTTAGACATTTACACGACACGTGGGTGTAACATAATTTAATATAAATAAGAAAATATTCAAGTCCGAGGAACGTTTAGACATTTACACGACAAGTGGGTGTAACATAATCGTATATAAATGAGCAAATATTCAAGTCCGAGGAACGTTAGACATTTACACGACACGTGGGTGTAACATAATCTTATATAAATGAACTAATATTTAAGACACATGTGGGTGTAACGTAATCTTATATAAATGAACAAATATTTAAGTCCGAGGAACGTTTAGACATTTACACGTCACGTGGGTGTAACATAATTTTATATAAATAAGCAAACATTTAAGTCCGAGGAACGTTTAGACGTTTGCACAACACGTGTGTGTAACATAATCTGATATAAATGAGCAAATATTCAAGTCCAAGGAACGTTTAGACATTTACACGACACGTGGGTGTAACATAATTTTATATAAATAAGCAAATATTCAAGTCCGAGGAACGTTTAGACATTTACACGACACGTGGGTGTAACATAATTTTATATAAATGAGCAAATATTCAAGTCCGAGGAACGTTTAGACATTTACATGACACGTGGGTGAAACATTATCTTATATAAATAAGCAAATATTCAAGTCCGAGGAACGTTTAGACATTTACACGAGACGTGGGTGTAACATAAGTTTATATAAATGAGCAAATATTCAAGTCCGGGGAACGTTTAGATATTTACACGACACGGGGGTGTAACATAATCTTATATAAATGAGCAAATATTCAAGTCCGAGGAACGTTTAGACATTTACACGATACGGGGGTGTAACATAATCTTATATATATATAAATGAGCAAACATACAAGTCCGAGGATATTTAAGAACAAACAATTAATGACCATGATAAACGTATTATCGTTACTATGTAAGTCCAAGGGCGTTGTAATATAGCTATATATTATATGGTTGATTACGAAACGAAATTAGTCAATGTTTTTATGATACAAATGGCGTCGATTCTTTATAACTCGATTAAAAGACTACCTCATTATTTCGATGACATCTGCATGGGAATCTTCCTCCTCTGGGTGCGATTGGTGGTTGTTCCTCTCTTTCTATAATCTGTCGGAATGTGTCATATTATAGGATTTATTTGTACTGATGCCCTAATAGGGCCAAACATACGCTCATCCAACAACAATAAAAAAGTAAAATACGAGGGGTGATCCAAAAGTCTTGGACGCCCTGCTCTAATTTTGTTGGGTTTTAATAAAATTACTTTAAACTTTCCAATGATAAAGACCAACAACCTGACTACTTTGTGTGTTAATTTCATGGAGATATTATATAGGGTGTCTCAAAAAATGTGTTTTAATGCTCATTCCAAGCAAAAAGACTTAGAATAACCTAAGGGCAACATCCAAAGAGAAATCCAAAACATTCCACCGGAATTATTATCAAATGTGATGAACAATGTAGCAGTAAGGATACAGGCTGCCATCGAAATATGAGGTTACATTGATTATGTGGTGTTAAAGGTAAAGGATTAAAGCATCAAAAAGGCAATGGCTACATGATCATGCAAAAAATGTCTGAAAATATTGATTGGTTTATCTGTGCTGTTGATATACTTTTGGGTACATTTTTGAGACACCCGATATATTTTATGTAGTTTTCTAGATAGTTTTTAATATAGGGACCCTGCCACCCGGAACTGTATTCGCACATGACAACTTTCAGCCTTAAATGTTCCCGCCATTTGCCTTGTTTCGCAAGTCTTGACCACTATCTTTCTTTGAATTTTGAATGTTAAACCATGTTAGTTTACTTCCTTTGTTATTAGGCAATCAATTAATTGTGTTTTAATTATCATGTCATATATGACAATGGCTGTATATGTTTAATTCTAAGAAAATGACATCAGACAAGCAACCCTCATTCTGGTATCATTTTTTCTCCAAGATGGCTGTTGAAATGGAGAACATGGACGAAATCAAAGTGGAACAAAGTATACTACGAGATATTCTCACTATTATTGACCTTGAGCAGCT